TTTATACCAGATGCACAGATGTCAATGTAAGGACACAGGGAACATGAAAAATCAAGGAAATATTGCACCTCCAAGGGAACACAATTCTCCAGCAACAGATCAAAACAAAAAGAAATCCATGAAATCTTAAAAAAAAAAGTTCAAAATTTTGATAAAGGGGTTCTGTGAGATAAAAGACAATTCAGAAAAACAATACAAAGAAATCAGAAAATAATTCAGGATATGAATGAGAAATTTACCACAGAGATATACATCATAAAAAAGAACAAACATATTCTGGAACTGAAGAATTTATTGAATGAAATATGAAATACATTTAAAAGTTTCAACAATAGACAAGATCAAGCAGAAGAAAGAATCTCAGGCTTGTTGGTGTGGTGGCTCATGCCTGTAATTCCAGCACTTTGGGAGGCCAAGGCAGGCAGATCACTTGAGGTCAGGAGTTTGAGACCAGCTTGGCCAACATGGTAAAAGCCCGTTTCTATTAAAAATACAAAAATTAGTGAGGTGTGGTGGTGCACACCTGTAGTAAAAGCTACCTGGGAGGCTGAGACATGAAAATCAATTGAACTCAGGAGGTGGAGTTTGCAATGAGCCAAGATCATGCCATTGCACTTTAAGCCTCAGTGACAGAGTGAGATTCAATCTTTAAAAAAAAAAAAAAAGAAAGAAAGAAAAGAAAAAGAAAAAATGAGAGTCTCAGAATTTGAAAATTGAAGATAGGTCTTTATAAATAACCCAGTCAGACAGAAATAAAGAAAAATAATAATAAAGAATGAGCAAAGCTTTTGTGACATATGGGACACCATAAAGCAACCAAGTGTACAAATTATCAATGTTGCAGTTGTAGAGAGAGAATGAAAGCGTTGTAAAACCTATTTAATGAAATAGTAGAAGTAAACTTCCCAAGTTTAGCAAGAGATTTAGACATCCATGTTCAGCAGGCTCAGAAATTATTTAATAGATACAATGCAAGAAGATCTTCTTCATGGCACATTACGGTCAAACTGTAATGTCAAAGACAGACAAATCTAAAACAGTAAGAGAAAAGCATTTAGTCACCTATAAAGAAAACCCCATCAGAACAAAGGTGGATTTCTTCACAGAAACCTTACAGACCAGGAAGAATGGGATGATATATTCAAAGTGCTGAAAGAAAAAAAAAATTACCCAGGGATACTATATCCAGCAAAAGTATCCTTCAAAAATGAAGGAGAAATAAAATCTTTTCCAAACCAGGAAAAATTGAGGGAATTCATTACCATTCGACTGGCCCCACAAGAAATGCTCAAGAGGGTTTAGACTCGGAGGTGCAAGGATGACATTTATAATCACGAAAACACACAAAAGTATAAAACGTACTGGTAAACAAAACACACAAATAAGAAATAGAAAGGAGTCAAATGGTACCACTACAAAACTCCACCAAACTACTATAACAAACTAAGAAAAAATAAAGGAACAAAGAATACACAAAAGAACTAGAAAACAACGAACAATATAACAGGAACAAAATCACACATATCAATAATAACCTTTAACATAAATTGAAAACATTCTCAACTTTAAAGATATAGACTGGCTGAACGAACCAAAAAAACCACTATCCAATCATATGCTGCCTACAAGAAATGCACTGTACCTGTAAAGATGCATATAGACTCAAAGTAAAGAGATGGAAAAAGATATTCAATGCAAATAGAAACCAAAAGCAAGTAAAAGCAGCTCTACTTTAAATGGACTTTACATTAAAAACAGTATATATATATATGGTCATTATATAATGTTAAGGAGTTTAATCCAGCAAGAGGATATAACAATCTTAAACATTTATGCACCCAACATTGGAGCACCCAGATTCATAAAACAAATATCACTAGATCTAAAGAAAGAAATGGACTCCAATACAATAGTAATGGGGGACTTCAGTACCTGACTTACAACATTAAACAGATAACTTAGACAGAAAATTAACCAAGAAACATTGGATTTAAAGTAGATATTGGGCTAAATGATCCTAGCAGAATTTACAGACTATTTTGTCCAACAACTGCAAAATACACATCTCATCAGCACATGAAACATTTTCCAGGATAGAACATATGTTAGCCCACAAAACAAGCCTCAACAAATTTTTTTAAACCTCCCACCAAACAAGCTTTGACAAATTTTTTTAAATCAATACTTGGCATATCAAATATCTTCTCAGACCACAATGAAATAAAACTAGAAATCAATACCATGGGTAACTCTGGAAACTATACACATACATGGATATTTAACAAAATGGTCCTGAACAACTGTTTGGTCAATGAACAAATTAAGAAGAAGTCAGAAAATTTCTCAGAACAAATGAAAATGGAAATATACCATACCCAAATCTGTGGGATATGGCAAAAGAAGTGCTAAGAGAAAAGGCTAAATGCCTACATTAAAAAAGTAAGGAGATTGCAAATTAAAATGTAACACTGCACCCCAAAAAAACTAGAAAAGAAAGAATAAACCAGACTCCAAATTGGAAAAATAAATTTTAAAAAGATCAGAGCATAGTTAAATAAAATAAAGACTAAAAGTCAGTACAAAGGATCAACAAAATGAAATGTTTTTTAAAAAGATAAACAAAATTAATATACTGCAGCTAGAATAACCAAGAAGAGAGAAGACCCAAATAAACAAAATCAGAAATGAAAAAGGAGACATTACAACTGATACCATAAAAAAACACAAGATCATCAGAGACTATTATGAACAACTATATGCTAATAAACTGGAAAACATAGAGGAAATAAATTAATTCCTGGAAACATAAAACCCACCAAGTTTACCAAGTTTGAATCAGGAAGGAATAGAAAACCTAAATAGACTAATGGCAAGTAGCAAGATTGAATCAGTCACAAAAAAATCTCTCAACAAAGAAAAGCCCAGGACTGGAGAGATTCACTGATGAATTCTACCAAATGTATAATGAGGGAAGAATACCAATCATCCTTAGTCTATTCCAAAAAATTGAAGAGAAGGAAATTCTTCCTAACTCACTCTATGAGGCCAGCGTTACCCTGATACCAAACCCAGACAAGGACATAACAAAAATGAAAACAACAGGCCAATATCCCTGATGAACATAGAACCAGACAATTCTCAACAAAATACTAGCACACTGAATCCAATAGCACATCAACAAGATAACTAACCATGATCAAGTGGGATTTATCCCAGGTATTCAAGGATGGTGGAACATATGCAAATCAATAAACTTAATGCATCACATCAACAGAATGAAGGATATAAACTATATGATTACCCCAATAGATGAAAAAAAAAGCATTTGACAAAACACAACACTGCTTCATCATAAAAACTTTCAACAAACAAGGCATTAAACACACATACTTCAAAATATTCAAGGGTATGTATGAAAAACTGATAGCTAACACTATGCTGAATGGGGGAAGGTTGAAAGCTTTTCCTCTAAGAACTGGAACAAGACGAGAATGTCCACTTTCACCACTCCAATTGAATACGGTGCTGTAAGCCCTAAAAGACATTGAAATTGGAAAAAATACGTTGTCTCTCTTTATAGGTGAACTAATCTTATATTTAGAAAAACCGAAACTCTCTACCAAAAACACTTAGAACTGATATACAAATTCAGCAAAGTTGCAAGATACACAAGAAACATACAAAAATCAATAGTATTTCTATACACCAAAAATGAAATAGATGAAACAAAAATTAAGAAGGCAGTCCCAATTACAAAAACCATGAAAAATAACAAAATACATAGGAATTAATTTAACCAAGAAGATGAAAGATCTCCACAAGGAAAACCAAAAGGCACTCATGAAATAAATTAAAGAGGACACAGACAAATGGAAAGACATCCCATGCTCAGGGATTAGAACAATTAATATTGTTAAAACAACCATACTGCCCAAAGCCATCTGCAGATTCAATGTGATCACTATCAAAATACTAAGTAATTTTTTGCAGAAATAAAAAAGTCCTAAAATTTGTACTGAACAAAAATAAATAGCCACAGTAATGCTCAGGAAAGCTAGAGGTATCACACTACCCTATTTCCAAATATATCACAAGGCTATAGTAACCAAAACAGCATGATGTTGGCATTAATGTAGACACATAAACCAATGGAACAGAGCACAAAATGCAGAAATAAGCTCACATATTTACAGCCAGCTGATCTTTGACAAAGCCAGTAAGACCATATGCTGCAGAAAGAACACTTTCTTCAATAAATGATACTGGGAAAATCAATAATCATATGCAGAATAATGAGACTGGATACTTATCTCTCATCCCATATAACAATCAACTCAAGATAGGTTAAAGACAAATTCAGATCCCAAACCATAAAGCCGCTAGATGAAAACAGAAAAAAAAAACTCTTCAGGATATTGGCCTAGACAAATATTTTATGGCTATGACCTCAAAAGCACAGGCAACAAAAAATAAATAGACAAATGGGACTATATTCAACTAGAAAGCTTCTGCACAGCAGAAGAAACAATCAACAGAGTGAAGAGGCAACCTTTTTGAAGGGAAGAAAAAATTTGTGAACTACTCATCAAACAAGGGATGAATATCCAGAATATTCAAGGAACTCAAACACAACCATACAAAAAGAAATAATCCCATTAAAAAATGGGCAAAGAACATGAATAGACACTGCTCAACGTCACTAATCATCAGGGAAATGCGAACCAAAACCATAAAGAGAGATCAACTTAACACTAGTCGAAATAGCTACTATTATAAAGACAACAAATATCAGATGTTGGCAAGGTTGTGGGGAAAAGGGAACACACACACTGTTGATGAGAATGTAAATGAGCATGGCCGCTATGGATAACAGTATGGAGATTTTTCCAAAACTAAAAATAGAGCTGCCAAACAATCCAGTAATGCCACTACTGGGTATTTATTCAGAGGAAAATAAATCAATATTATCAAAAGGGTGCCAGCATGTTTATTGCAGCACTATTTGTAATAGCAAAAATTTGGAATCAGGCTAAGTAAGTATCTATCAGTGGATAAATAGGTAAAAAGAAAAAGTTGTATATGAACACAATGAAACGTTATCTGGCCATAAAAAGAATGAAATCATGTCATTTGCAGCAACATGGATAAAACCGGAGGTCATTATGTTAAATGAAAAAAGTCAGGCACAGAAAGACAAATATTGTTTGTTCTCATTCATATATGGGAGCTACAAAAGTTGATCACATGAGTTAGAAAGTGTAATGACAGATACCAGAGACTGAGGAGGGTGTATGGGGGTGGGGGTATGGGAGCGCTAAAGAGAGGTTGTTTAATGGGTTCAAACAAAGAAGTAGATAGAAGGAATAAAAGTTCTAATAATCCAAGGAAGACTAGGGTGTCTATAGTTAACAATTATTGTATCTTTCAAAGCAGCTAAAAACGGGGACCTGAAATGTACTCAACAAATAGAAATAAAATATACTTGGGTGATGGACACTCTAAGCATCCAGACTTGATCATTACGTATTTTTTGCATGTAACAACATTTCACAAGTACCCCATGAATATGTAAAAATATAATGCGTGTCACAAAAATCCTATTCAAAGGCTATTTTCTTCCTAATATCTAGCCTTAGTTGTCCCTTACCATAATTTTTCTAAAATTCACATGTAATTTAAGTTACGTGTGAAATAATGACATGCACATAGAAAGGACATCAAATGGCTGCATTTTATGTGTCTGTTAATATATCTGCATATTTCTTCATTTCCCACTTTTTTGCAAAAATTTATTTGAAGCAGCTTTTGCAATGCTTTTAGAATACATTAACAATTGTGGGGAATGGGAGCTGAAAGAAAATAAGGTGAATGGAAACAACAACAGAAAGGAATGAAGGTCATCTTTGTGAACTAGGTTGTAAATAGTTCTGGTCAAAGCTTAAGGTGGACTATAGATTTATTGTCCACGTTTCCTAGCAGCCAAAGCAAAGAGAATTATAGGCGCTGTACACTGTCCATAAAAGAAAAGTGTTTCATTTTTCCAGACACTGATTAATCTTTATAAAGAAGAAAGCTATTAGCTGTGATAGGCAACATCTTCCTCTAAGTCATTATATCTAACAATGTATTTTATGTTATTACTTCTAAAAGTTTACATCAGTGCAATCTGATAACATAATAAATCACAATTTTGCAAAGGCAATTCTACAAGGAACCAAAACTGTGCAATACAAAATGAGCATTTTAGCAAAAGAAGGCCTTTTTGGGAGTCTTCTCTAGATAGTACTTCTGACCACTGTGTTTTGAATATAATTTATAAAAAGTTTAAGGTTGGCCAGGCACGGTGGCTCATGCCTGTAATCCCAGCACTTTGGGAAGCTGAGGTGGGCAGATCATGAAGTCAAGAGATCGAGACCAGCCTGGCCAACATAGTGAAACCCCATCCCTACTAAAAATACAAAAATTATCTGGGCATGGTGGCATCTCCTGTAGTTCCAGTTACTTGGGATGCTGAGGCAGGAGAATCGCTTGAACCCAGGAGGCAGAGGTTGCAATGAGCCGAGAGTATGCCATTGTACTCTAGCCTGGTGACAGAGGGAGACTCCATCCAAAAAACAAGAAGTTTAAGATTGTATTCAAACACTAAAGCCTGATGTGTCAACATCCTCCATTGTGCATGGGAAGGCAGACTCATTTGCTTGGCCATCATCTGTGCAGAGGGATCATTCTGATCTTTTTATTACAAATACAAATCTAAATTAAGACACATGCTTTGAGATGCTGAAACTCCATTTCTAATGGCAATTGAAAAAAGTCCCTTTCAGCTGGGCCAATGTTTTTCTAAGGAAACAGTTCTTAGTCAGCTTTAACACTGGGATAAATAGTATTTATTGCATAATCCCAAATAATGTAGAATTGAGCTATGCAGCAAATTTTTCCTTAAATATGAAATTTCAATAAATATTCCACGGCATTTACTGTCCTCATCAGTCTTTCAAATAGATGTCTATAGGCAATGGTCACCTTCAACTTACCTACAATAGCTAGTATGTTGTATATGTGTGTCTTTAATGAGTACATTTAATCTGAGATATTAAACCAATACTACTGAATTTGGATGCAGAGAGAAGATAAGTTATAAAGCAGAAGATTCCTGGAGAGCTGAATTTCTACCTCCCACTCCTTACTGGTTGCATGGCATTGAACAAATACATCTTACTTCAGGTGTAAAGTTAGCGTTTTACTATATTGCAATGTGTTGCTTAGCATTCTTGCTAAAATTAAACGTGTGAATGTCACTAAAGTTTTTTAGTATGCTATAAATTTAGTATGCTACTTGCAGGTATTTGTTTTTCCTTGGATTCCTTAAAAAGATCACACTACTACAGGGATTAGCTCAAGAAAAAAAGAACTTGAACCATCAAGAGTCAATGGAAAGCAATCACCCGCAGATTCACATACACCTCATTTTCTCTTTACCTGCTTTTGCACGTGAGTATTGTACTGGCTCTATTTTATACTCCTAACCTTACTATGTTGGTTCTAGGCATAATGCACAAAAAAGGTCACTTCAGTATCCTAACTCTGAAAAATTCTTTTCATTGCTTTTCTCTTCATTTGCCATATCTGCTTATTTACCACAAGCTTATCATTTACTTCGGGGCTGACGGGCAGTTACCTCCACATTTGCCTTTCCAATTCATTTCCGTGACTAGACTCTAAGCCCCCCAAAATCAGGGACCTTATCCGTTGGCATCATGGCTACATCCCTTAACCCTTATAAAGTGTATGGTATGGCCAGGTGAGGTGGCTCATGCCTATAATCCCAGCACTTTGGGAGGCTGAAGTGGGTAGATCACCTGAGGCTGAGAGTTTGAGATCAGCCTGGCCAATACGGTAAAAAACTGTCTTTACTAGAAATACAAAAATTAGCCGGGCTCACTAGCCCTGTTGTATGTATCTGTGTTTAACGAGTACATTTAATCTGAGATATTAAACCAAAAGTACTGAATTGGGATGCAGAAAGAAGATAAGGTATAAAGCAGAAGGTTCCTGGAGAGCTGGATTCCTGGATTCCTGGTGCACACCTGTAATTCCAGCTACTCAGGAGGCTGAGGCAGGAGAATCGTTTGAACCAGGAAGGCAGAGATTGCAGTGAGCTGAGATTGTGCCACTGTACTCCAGTTTGGGTGCAACAGAGCAAGACTTCATCTCAAAAAAAAAAAAAAGTATATGATACACAGAGGGCATTCAATAAAGGGCTGTGGCTAAGGTTCTTATTTATTTGTTTATATTAGATTACTATTATCAGCCAATTTTTCAGACAAATAACTTGAGAGTCCAACAGATGATGTAATTTGCCAAAAAAGCTAACGTGGCAGGGCTGAGATTTGAACACAGTCCTGTCTGGCCATTATGACCATGCTACGAGTCATTTGCCTAAATGTGCTGCAGAAACTCTTTAAGAACACAGGAGCCCCTTGCAGCTCAGTGCCTCAGGTGTCACACATTGATTCTAATTTGTGATGTAATAGCCTGATAGGTTTATTATACATGTGAGCAGTAAAATAAAACAAGGTATGTTCTTGTTTTGCGTTATAAAGTACAGTCTTTTCAAATAATTTTTAAAATTACGTTGTCTACCATATTGTGAAAACACCACAAATTGGATGGTTAGCTTCCTTGTGACCATAAAGAAAAGGATAACACTATTGGCTGTAGGAATCATAGTGTCTATAATTGCCAAAAACTAACAAACACACAACTAAAAATGCATTCTTAAGAGAAGCATTTAATCTCATCACAAGACTTAAGAGTCTCCTCCCCAGGACCCTTAATAAAGAGGTATCATCCAGGCCTCTTTTGTAGCACTGACTTTTGGGGAAACAAATGTTGGTGTTGGTACCAGTATAGTTCAAAGGGTCAGCAAACATCTATCTGACCCAAACCTCTGCACGGCAGAGACCCGGTCCATTTAGAGGTACGGTTCTCTTCTGTATATTCTCAAATCACATCTCCTTTGTGTGGAAAAATAAGATTTCATGCACAATCAAGTTTATCTACCTCAAATCAATAACAGCATTAAAACAGATATAAAAGAAATACAGTTAACCAATTTAAATATTATTGAAAGTCTTGTAGAACTACAGATATGCTGAATGTGAAATTTCCTAGTTGAAAGGTGTGTTGAAAGCGTTTCAGGCAACACTAGAATGCTTTCAAATGATGCGCAGCCACTTATGAAAACTATTCAGGTGCTTTCCCTAATCTGAAAGGGAGTGCTTTTTCATAGCATTAGTTTTATAATGAGCCTTTTCAGGCAAATTTCAAAGGGTGCATGGTTCACATACTTTAAACTAAATTCACTCATAATTTAGCATCCGACAAAAGCTAATGCTTAATTGTCTCTAAAGAGGCTATAGAAGGAAAACATTTTCCTTATTCACAAACACAGGGCTAAACAGTGGAGCTTCCCTCCATTAACATCCTTCCTAATTTTCATAAGAACAATGGCCCTGTAAAGAGCTGGTCACAAGGAAGCCGAGACTCTTTGCACATGGCTTTGCACAATATTGCCTGCTAGCCCTGGTCTGATCACCCTCAGAGACAACTTCAACACAGAGGCTAGAAGGGGTCAAGATTTGTAATCTCTGTTACCATTGATATATCCAAGTTTTTTTTGTTTGGTTTGGTTTTGCTTTTTTGTTTGTTTTGAAGCTGGGCCTTGCTCTATCATTCCAGCTGGAGTTCAATGGCGCCATCATAGCTCACTGCAGCCTGGGAGTCCTGGGCTCAAGTGATCCTCCCAACTCAGCCTTGCAAAATGCTGGGATTACAGGCATGAGCCACCATGCCCTGGGTATCCAACAGTTTACTATTGGCTGAGGCCTTGAGAAATGTTATTTCAATTTGTTTAGCCCCACCTAACTTCTTCAATCTCAAAGAGAAGAGACCGTGTTTCTGATTTGATAGATAATCAATTATCACATTGATTAACAGCACACACAGACTCAAAAAAGCCAGAGGATTGGCTTCAAAATCTTTGCCACTTCCTATGTGACATTAGGCAAGTAAATTTCAATTCTCTGTGCTTCAACCGGCTCATCTGTAAAACAGGAATAATTAGAGTGTAATTCTTCTAGGACCACAATGAGTATTGTAGAAGTTCATATACATCAAGAACTGAAAACAATACTCACGTTTTGCCTAAGGAAGTGCTATGTATATCTTAACTACCATCATTCTTCTCATTATTATTACATTCCTCCCGACTGTCACATACTGGGTCTCTTGGAAAAGCAACAAGTTGTTTTCTTTTATTCATTTATTTTTTTCTTTGCTTGTGTGTCTTTCCATTAGTAACACCCCTGGAAAAATCTTCAGATGCTCCATTTTTCCTTTCATGCTAAAACTTTTGCCAAGTTGTTAAGGCACAAATGTCTTCTGAGATGTGTGGAGCTGGAGAGAGGAAATCCTTCTAAAGAGCTGAAACCCAGGAGACGGCAGCTCCCTCAGAAGATGGCATGTTAAAATACAATGTTTTGAGAAAGCCCTTTTAAAAACACAGAAACTTTGAACCTACCTGCTTCTGAGAAAAGTGTAGAAATAATCAACCAGAAAGGGGGGAAATTTTTTAAATTTTTAAAAATCCCGCTCTTATAAAGCTTTTAAATTCTCAAGTAATTTTCATAATTGTGACACTTGGCACAATTTGAGAGTATCTTATATTGATTCTCAGATTTTAAGACAACAATCATTACATTATTATGTGCAGCCTAAGCAGTGTAGCATAACCTCCTAATTAGGATAAAAAACAGAGCCAGGAGCAACCCTGGAAAGTCACAACAAGTCAATATTTTTAATAAGGATTAATTAAAAAAAAAACTCTACAAGGTTGTATTAGAGGCAGTTCTGGCATGTCTATTGATTAACAGTTGGCATTACATCTCATAAAGGGCTCATTATGGAAAGCATCAATCTCAGCACGATGTTTTCCCCTCTTAAATACTATTGATTTGTTTTGATGTGTTTTTTTAAGCACAGTTTGGGAACTGAGAAGATTAAGACCTGGGTCCTGGCATTGCCCATCACATTAAGGGAGACCCATTAGAAATGGCAAAGAGGAATAATATCTTCTGCTTCTCCTGACAGCTGGCTTCTGTGGACTTCCCAGGCTGGCAGAGGATACCTGCTCAACCATCTTCTCCACTCAGCTCTCTTTCATATATATATCCCACATATTACATATATTATATATATCATTTATCACATACATATTCTCATTATATATATATATATATATATATATGTGTGTGTGTGTGTGTGTGTGTGTGTGTGTGTGTGTGTGTGTGTGTGAAATTTACATGCAAATAAACAACAATACCATTTGGAAACAACTTCCACTGCCCTTCCGAACACTGCAGTGCTAGGAATCTGCAGGAAGACGGCACAGCTCGACCACAGGTGCCTGCGCCTTATGAATATGCAGCTCTGACATTTGAAACTCTTCAGCAGATTTCACAACCCCTTTCTTCATTGACACCAATTCACTCCCAATCACAAGGGTTTTCAAGTAAACAGCATTGGTTAGAAGCTGCTGCAAATACTTCCTAAAGTAATCTCAGTCCATGCTTCTTAAGATTGCAGACTGATCCCCTTAATAATATTTTAAATATGGAGAAACCTCTATTCTTTTTTTAATCATAATTTTTTTAAAGTCTATGTGGTTGATGCTAGGTGGCAGTGCTGTGTAATTAAAACTCCAAAGGATTCTGCTAGAACTTGTGACTCGGGTCACTTCCTTTTCTGCACACAATCATAAGGTATAATTATGAGGCAAGAATATTAGGATGTCATGGTTCTTTCTTAGAAACTCATTAAGAAATCATAGAAAAACTTTACTACTTTAAGGTCAGTAGTTTTCAAAAAAACTAAAATAGGATAAATCTATGTATACATGTTATACATTTTTGATGACCAAATTCGTATCAATAATTTATTAGAAAAATGTAATATTTAGATAAAACAAATTATATGTTTCGGTTGTCTGAGACATCATGTACATACAATTTCACAAGGCATCATTAGTATTCTTTTTTTTAGATGTGTCCTACGCTGGAGTGCAGTGGTGTGACCTTGGCTCACTGCAGTCTCCGCCTCCTTAGCTGAAGCAATTTTTCTACCTCAGCCTCCCAAGTAGCTGGGACTACAGATGTACACTACCACGCCTGGCTAATTTTTATATTTTTAGTAGAGACAGGGGTTCCACCACGTTAGCCAGGCTGGTCTCAAACTCCTGGCCTCAAGTGATCCGCCAGCCTTGACCTCCAAAATGCTGGGATTACAGGCATGAGCCATCACTCCTGGCCCCTGTAATTTTTTAATGATACGAAAAAAATTAATTTCCCCCCCAAACAAAATTTTTAATGATGGGAAAAGCTAAGGTACCTGCTATCTGGCTGCTAGACTGTAGCCATACTGGGAATAATTCATTCCTAATTCCTGAACTTCATATGCAGGCTAAATATAATGTTAGGTATGATGGGGAGACAGAGGTGTACAATTTATGGTCCTCATACTTAAGGATGTTGCATTGTAGAAGAGGAGACTAAATAGCCAATAGACAATGCGGAATGTAAGTGTCAGACTTGCAAGATGGCACACAGCAATCTGGGCAAGATGACTCAGGATTGAAAGACTTTGAGACTCGCCTCTGTTCCTTCTTCCTCCTGGGGACATCCTTTCCCTATAAATAATCTCTGAAAAAAATATCCATCCAATTACTTTTTGTCTGCACTGAATTTCCTCCCACAGAGTAGGTGGAAGCAAGGCTGGCCTGGCTGGAGTTCGAATCGGGACTTTGAAATGTGACTTCCTTAGCTTTTCCATTCCAGCTCTAGCCTTTACTAGGTATGTGACATTCAGCAAGTGACTAAACCTCTGTTAGTCCTATCATGAAGGAAAGTAACCCTGTACCTACCTCTTATGATTACTGTCAGGAATAATGAGTACTAGCTCGCTTTTTGAGATGATAAAAAATAACTTCTAAAATTAGATTATGGAGACAGTTTTACCACTCTATAGATACATTGAAAACAGCAGGTGAATTTTATGATAGGTAAATTTACATCAATGATGCTGTTTAAAGGATGGATCAAAGATAAATCAACTGTGGTATATAACACAGACTACTGTTAAGTACTAAGAAAGAAAGAATCATTGATATGTGAAAATAAAAGTTAATGTATATAAAACGGCTTGGCCCCCAGTGTATGCACTGAAAATATGAGCTTATCTTTTGGCCCTTCAACCACAGGTTGCATGATCTTGAGAAAGTCACTTGGGACACTGGGAAAGCCTCTTCAGGCCTCTAGTCCTTCTCTTTGAAGTAAGACATTGGACTACATCCCCTATGATTGCTTTCAATTCCAAGATTATTCTAGATCCCAGGAAATGATTTCTGAGTCGTCCTAAACTCTTCTTCCAGAGTTTCCCCTTCCCACGAGGCACAGGCTCAGTAAGGTTGCTGCCTGGGAGCTCTCTGCCTAGTCCAGTTGGATGTAGAAGCTATTTTCCACCCAAAGATTCATTCTTACTTTCACTCACTTTATGGAGCCTGAACTGCATTTGAGTTGTGGAAAAAAAAGAGAGACTATCAGAGTATAGAACAGTTGTCTTCAATTTTGGCTGCACATTAGAGTCACCAAGGCCACTTTCGGAAAACATATCAAAACTCACATCCTGTTCCCCACCAATTAATTCTAAATCTCTGGTGGGCCCTGGACAACTATTATTTTTCGAAAGCTTCTCAAGTGATTTCCATGCACAATGAAGCTTGTGAACCACTGCTACGTAAGTTCAAAGTGAGTAAGCTCACCTAGTTTTATCGGGGGCAAGAAGTACTATATGAACTGCATCTTGAAGGGCAGATAGAGATGAATGTATAGTTATAATGAGGGAAGAAAATTTCTAGGGAGGGCAGCACCTCTTTTCCATCTTATTCTAGAAGATGAAACGTTCCTAGAGAGACCTATATAAATAATCTAGGAAAGAAGCAGAAAGAAGTATATTCTAAAGGGATGGTAGGTAATCAAAATCCAGGTCAGGAGATTGGCAAGCAAAAAAACTTATGACTAAAGAAAGGGACAAGAAGAAAATACACTGCTGTGGTTACAGTTCCAGGCAATATGAGGAAAGTCCTGTGGCTAAGAGCTATGTCTGTACAATAAGGTAAATCTGTCTGCTGATAAGTCAACTTCACTGAATTCATCTTATTCACTCATTGGGTCTCTTAGTCTTCCTCCTCTGCTCCAAGTGACACCATATGTATTGCCAACCTCTAGTCTAACCCCAGAGTCCATCAATGCTAATCAAGTCAGAATGTCAACTCTACTTAATTGGAAGCCCCATTCACATTTTTCTTTTGCTCTTAGAGAGACCGAGGTAGCTGAAGAATATTGGTCATATACCCTAATCGAATATTGTGACAGTGATTTTGAGGTATAGACAAAGAAGGAAGCTGGCTAAGAAAAGAAAGGAGAGAGTCTTATATTTTGTGCCTTTGAATTACCAGAAAATGGAGGAAGATTCTGAATTGTAATTTTCATTAGTTCACAAAAGACTTAACGTTCTTCTGGATAATTAAGGACTGACTACACATTTTTCTGTAGAGATCTGTTGCCTAGAGATCCCTGCAGTGGAATGTTATAGGCAGCTAGCACCACCTTTGAAGGTTACCTGTTAAATTTTCAGGAATTTCATGAGTTACTTGACTTCAGCCTGAAATTGGTCATGGTAGAAGTATTTGCAATATGAAATTGGGGCAAATCCTGCAAATCAGGGCTCCTCCAATCAGAGCACATTTTTAAACATTTACCACCACACGGCAGTTTCAGGACTGCAGCTTTGCCCAGCTCTTGTTGTTTGTAGACTACAATGCGAATGGGTTTCCCGGAAATCACCAGGTACATTTTTCCTCCCATGTTGATCGACATTATGGCCCTGCATCCCTTTGTTGATGTTTTTTAGCTAGAATAGTAGGCCTATTATTCCACTTCTGTTCAAATAATCAATGCTTGTGAAAATGGCCCATAGTGGCCAACTTGGCAAATCACTGGCCATAAGCTTTGCAGTGGTTTTCAAATACTAATCCATAAGTAGGTCATTTTTATACAAACTGCAATTCCTGAAGACTTCACATATTTCAAAACTCATGCAATCAAAGGTAAATTTTCCCATAGGAATATAGATCTGCAACCATTAGTAGCACCTATTTGTTTTATACATACTTTTAATTTTCTCAATATTGTTTCCAATATTTCATAGAGGCTACTCACCTAAATTAACAATATAAGGTACATTGCTGGTTGTTAGATGCTTCTCACAAAATTATCATTACATGCAATCTCCTTTTTAATGTTAGTGATTTTAAGGAGCATTTTTCAACATGGATGACAGCATCACCATTTGCTATAGACTGAATGTTTATGCCCTCCCCATTCATATGTTGAAACCTAACCCCCAATGGATTAGCATTACTAAGCGGGGCCTTTGGGAGGTGACTGGTCCATGAGGGCAGAGTGCTCATGAATGGAATTAGTATCTTCATAAAAGATACCCGGGATAACTCCCTTATCCCTTCTGCCTGGGGAGGAGACAGCAAGAGAAATCAGGATGTTAGTCCCCACCAGACCCCTATCTTGTACTTCTCAGCCTCCAACTCTGCAAGAAAAAATTATGTTGTTTACAAGCCACCTAGTCCATGGTATTTTTTTGCAGTAGCCCACCTGAGACATCATTTAATGACTGCCTTGATGGCATATATACAAAATACCTAGGAACACTGAACATTACACAGGCATAGCAATAATTACCAAAATTATTTGTATATAAAAAATAGTGTGATTCAATGATATGAAACACCAGGTACTTGGAATTACTAAGTAAACTAGTTTAGCTGGTGGTAAAGGATAATGCATCTGGTCTGCCAACTTTAAAATTGTAAATATCCATTTTTATCTGAGAAATCATATTATTTCCAATTTTGCATATAATATACACTGTCTTGGTATATCTACATTGTCCTATTTCAAACTCATATAAAATGTCACATACTAGAATAACCTGCGATACTTGTTAAAGACGTAAATCCCCCGGCTCTTCTCCTATGTACATATGGAGTATGGTGCATTTTTGACAAGCACCCCAGATAACATCAGAAAATTCTGGTATGGGTGGCATATGTGGTTCAATGAAATATTGATCTAATTCCTCTACCTTTTGAAAATCCAAGCTGGAAAATCCTTCAGTGAAAGGTTTCAGCTTACATAAAATGAAGCAGATTTATTTTTATACAGTTACGTTTACCTTTGTATAAACCAAATATACTGGAAATATATTTCATCATCAGGGGAATGGTTCAGTAAGCCATGGCACAGCCATGAGCCAGAGGCCAGCTACCACTTTGCACCTTATCAGTCTTAAAAAGCTCTACAGGGACAGTGTTGTATTTGAAAGATTCATGCTACACCTCATTTTAATCATGGACACAATAACCCCCATCTCTTCAAAGTCATTTAGTAGTGAATTTTCAAGAATACATCAAGTAGATTTTCTCTGGGCCCATCTGTGCGGCACATTTATTTTCTGTGACTGTTTTGCTGAGCACAATGAAAACCTTGACTACTAATGAACAGGGACCCAGAGAACGGCCCAGCTGCTGCTGTGGCTTGATGCTGTTCTTGGAGAAAAAAGAATTCTTTTCACCTGGGGTGGCGGCTGCAGGTCTACGGAGCTATGGAAGCTTTTGAAGGAAAGCCTTTTCGTAGAGCTGTTTTTCTTCTTTCCCATCTTTGTCACGTGAAGACTAATTTCAAATATGGTCTCCAGGCTGTGAAGCCACAAAGCTAAAAGCTATCTTCTCATTGGGACCCCAAGCTCTGTGTTTGAATCAACAGAACTTGGGGTCCCAATGAAACATCAATGACTGAAGCTACAAGAAACGCTCTGATGTGGAAGCAATATTAATTTAGAGGTAAAGAACTAGGGCTTTAGAGACATAACCTCTATACCCTCAGTTTTATCATCGGCAAAATGAGACAAATAATACAATTTATCTTATAGGGTTATGGGGAAATTAAGATAAAAGATGTAAGGTTCTTAGTAAAGTGATGGAAAATGATAAATGTGCAATCTGTCAATATATTAAATGTGACATATTATATATAATAGTATATAATCAATATAATTTTAGCTATCATTGTTACTACTAAGAAGAGAAAAAACATCTATAATCTCATTGTGATCATGACCAGTCAGTCAATGCCTGGGGCTGCCAACTCTAAATCATTTTTTGCAAGCTACTACATATAGGGGAACACCCACTGCCCTCTGAGACTACAGTCTTCAGGATATAGGGTAATTTATTATGTTAGCACTGGTGCTTGCTGGGTTATCATACTGGTGAGAATGAGAGGAAAACTCATTCCTGAGCCAAGTACACTTCAACGTAGCATTGCAAATGATAAATATATTTCTAAGGAAACTCATATTATAGGCTGCTGCGTCTGTTATGCATAAGTGCATTATAAATGATTTTTTTTGGAGTCCACATAGACATCTCAATGATAGATGAGGATCAAATCATCTAATTTTATTAAGTCTTATAAAAGTGTTTCTGTAGCATCTTATCCTCAGAGTTAGTTCAATGTAGAATTTACAAACTATCACACATATTTTATCTGACTGGTTGAAACAATGTAGTTTTTTAACGTGTATAAAACCTTAGCAGGTTGATGGTAGGTTCAAGTTAGCCACAATAGTCACTGTGATTCTGTAGAAAGGTCCAAGAAACTAGTTTAACGAAAGCAGAAATGTGAGCAAGATGCTGTTTTTGAAGAAGAAATAAATCAGGTGACAAGAGATAAAATCAGAAGAAAGACCAAAAGTGAGATCCTAAAGTTTTTCCGAACTCAGAAGGCCTTGTTGGAACTTCCCCCGAGTCCCTCCCTTTCACAAGCTTGTCGGAGATATTTGTGTGTCCATCACTTCTCACATTCTACTCTTGACTCTATTTACTCTTCTGGGATTACAAGATAGTGAACTCCTGAAGGAGAGATAATACATTCTCATTTATATCTTTTTCCCCCAAAGTGCCCGGCACAAACTTTGTTCATGGTGTTTATTTAATCTGCTGCTGCAAAATTGAAGTGTGAACTGTATGCTTAAACTTCATAGAAAATGCATATAGAGGAAGGCATTTAAAAGTGCAATGAAAAGTGCAAACAGATTTGGCAGTTCAAGAATGGGTATTCATTTAGGCAAAGGGAAATTAATTTCTTTCTAGGTAGAACAAATTGTCTAATATTTAGAACTGCTTTGTAGAATATGATTGCTTTCTTCACGCATGCATTCGTTCACTTCATTACGGGAAAGAAGCATAGTACGGTAGTGAGAAATGAACTCTGGTGTGGACTGTTACTGTTCCAGCCTCTGTCAAGCACCATCAGCTAAGGGGTTAGATAAGTGACCTCTCTACACCTTGGTTTCCTAATGCGTGAAAGAGGAATAACAGTAACAACAATACCTACTTCATGAAGTTGTTTTGTGGGTTAAATGAAATAATCCATGCAATGTGCTACATATATTTAGCCCTGAATTCTATTTGAATCTATTCTGTTTATAGCACTGTACTGTTCACTGCATGGAATTTAAGACACCAGTGTATGGTTTCCTACACCTAGAAGTTTACAATATACAAGGCAACAAGACACCCAGGGAAAAGTTAATTGTATATGACTAAATGCCATGTTAATTCAGTGGCCACTGAGTGTTGATACAGTTGAATAAGGGAAGAGAACCATATATTTGCTGAGCCTTATGTCAGGCATTACTCAGAAAATGCAACCTTGCTTTTTAAAATAAGTTTTCTCTGTAGCAGTCTGGATTTTCACTGAACCCTGAGGAATGTGGGATTTCAAATTCTGGCACTTCAACAGAATTGGGGGAATCATGGGGAAAAGAAGGAGAATCATGAGGAAAGAAAAAGTGATTTTACAAAGAGCAGAAAATAATCTAAAATAAATTACTACTTGCCTTAAATGGGAAACTTCAAGCATTTGTCAATATAAGTTGAGGAATAACAATATTACTAAAACTTGCCAGGTGTGGTGGCTCACACCTGTAATCCCAGCACTTTGGGAGGTTGAGGCAGGTGGATCACTTGAGGTCAGGAGTTCTAGACCAGCCTGGCCAAACATGGTGAAACCCTGTCTCTAATAAAAATACAAAAATTAGCTAAGCATGGTGGCAGATGCCTATAATCCCAGCTACTTAGGAGGCTAAGTCAGGAGAATCACTTGAATCCAAGAAGCAGAGGCTGCAGTGAGCCGAGATTACACCACTGCACTCCAGCCTGATCAACTAACTTTTAAAAAATGTTTTCATATGCCAGGAAAGAAAAGTACTTCATATGCATTCTTTCATTTATTCCTCACAACAGATATATGAAGTAGGTAGTGTTATTTCCATTTTACACATAAGGAAAAAGGAATTTGAGGAATTTAAACAATTTACCCCAAATGCCAACATAGCGTGACTTCTACCACTAACCAAGAAATAAACATTTGTAGTTACAAAAACACTTGAGATGAAGGAAGATAACTTCCTGATTCTCCCAGTTGACACCTGTAGAAAGTCAGAAGCTATACATCCATTCTTTCCTCCTATCTAAGGCTGAAAGAAATCTCCACTGAGTAACCATGTTCTCATTCTGACCAGCAACTTGAATAAAACAAAAAAGTAAGTGAAATGGTTTCCAAGAGAGGAAATATGTTCCATTAAATGTTAGCATGGTTTGATGTCATTTTGGACATCAGGAATGATACTTACAGGCTGAGAGATCTCTGAAGACCAGATAAATCCAAGCACAGTAAAACAAAAGGGTGTCCATTAACTTCACTTAAATGGCACTGTCTCAAGATGTTCAGTTCAGTAAGGTTAAGCAAAATCCGTGTCACTTTACATCTTCTTAAATGAAAATCTTAGAAGAAAACCGTCCAACTCATGACAATATACCAAAATAAACTGACTTACAATCTAAATACTACGATAATATCTGTACTCTCTAAGCCTTAAGAAAATAATAATTAAGTCCATGTGGTTCTACTGTTTGTTTTGTTGTATGCTGACTTATTTATTTTATAGCACATTTCACTTCTAAGTTAGCAGCTCAAATTTGTGAGGCCATTCAATTGTTTTCTCCTCAAGATATGGAGCCTCAGAGGTTTTTACTCTAGACTTCTAAAGGGTGAGCCGTTTAGTATTAGCTGAAAATGATTAAAATAGACATTAAGGGCCGACCACAGTGGCTCAAGGTCTTTAATCCCAGCACTTTGGGAGGCCGAGGCGGGCAGATCATGATGTCAAGAGATTGAGATCATCCTGACCAACATGGTGAAACCCCCATCTCTACTAAAAATATAAAAATTAGCTAGTGCGGTGGCATGTGCCTGTAGTCCCAGCTACTTGGGAGGCTAAGGCAGTAGAATCACTTGAACCTGGGAGGTAGAGAGTGCAGTGTGCCGAGATCACACCACTGCACTCTTGACCTGATGACAGAGCAAGACTCTGTCTCAAAAAAAAAAGAAAAAAAGAAGACATTAAAGTATGTAGGTTTATCTTAGACAACCATATCTTTGCAAGGAATAAATGTTTCTTGTCATGAATATCAGAGACAACATGAAATGCCTGTCAAGGAGTAACTAAGAATGTACACATCAAATCATCTCTCTCTCTTTCTGACCCTTAACATGTACACATCCTTCCTAGAATTCATGTCTCTCACATAAGTTGATTACATATTATAAAAGGACGTTAATTCTTTCTTAAATGCAATGGCAGACTACATTAAGAATATACCTCAGTAGGGCAGTCTCAGTGGCTCATGCCTGTAATCCTAGCACTTTGGGAGGCTGAGGCAGGTGGATCACCTGAGGTCAGGAGTTCCAGAGCAGTCTGGCCAACATGGTGAAACCCCATCTCTACTAAAAATACAAAAAATTAGCCAGGTGTGGTGGCATGCACTTGTAACTCAGGAGGCTATTCAGGAGGCTGAGGCAGGAGAATTGCTTGAACCTGGGGAGGCAGAGGTTGCAGTGAGCTGAGATTGCACCATTGCACTCTAGCCTGGGTAACAAGACTGAAACTCGATCTCAAAAAAAAAAAAAAGAGACTATACCTCAGTAGTAAAGAGTGCAGCCTTTTACATTTTAGAAAGCACTCTCATGCACACTGTCTCATTTTATTGTAAGGAAACTAAGGCACGAAAAAGTCATGTGGCTGATGTTGGAGGAGAGTGCCTGGAACAGAGAGGACGCTAAACAGTTGCTAGCTCCTGTGTAGTACTAACTTCTAACTCCGTGTCTGGCTGCAAACTGGTGATTCATGAACCTAATTTGGATTGCAGATGTGTTTTATATGGTCCACACAGCATTTTTAAAAAATGAATTCCTTGCCAATATTTTTAAAGGAGTATTTTGTAACATAAATAAAATCCAGATTTCCAACTTGCTTTAAAATCAGAACATCTAATCTCACCAGGCCTATATTCCCTGAAGGCAACAATTGGCCAGAACTCAGTGACTGTACTCATGTGTTCTCTGTCCTGCTTTGGGCTTGAGGCGTGTCCCGTTCATGGGTATACTGCTTCCTACAGGCATCTAAATTTAGACCTTGCACCATCACGTGTAACAAGGCAAGGGTTCCCATTCCATGGGGAAGTTCTGACAATTTCCCACCAAGAGATGATGGAATGCAGACTGAAATTTAAGAATCAGAATTTTAGAACTGGAATAAACTTGAAATCACTCAATCTCATGGTTCACAGTTAGCTATTGCAGGGTTTCAGGGGAATCTTAAAAACCATTTCCTTTTTTTCTTTCCAATACTAAAATCTAATTACTGATGTAGTAAAGTAAATTGGTTTTCTTTTTCTAGTATAAATTGTCTTATTTTCAAAGTTTATGATTGTAGGGCTCTTCCTTACATGTTTACATCTTCCTTGGAAATACTTCTTCATTTATTTGTTTGCTTATTTATTTATTTGATATAGGAATTATTGTCTCAAGTCATAGTAAGATTAGTTAAAGTCATGCTCATCAAGTGTTTTGTTTATGTAAGCTCTGAAATAACACATGATCTTGACAGATAAACATGGGAGAAATTTATTTACTACTGAATAAATACAATTTAGTTTTAAAAAATATTTAAAAATATTTCCCAACCTGGGTCCAGTAGGAGTTAAAATTAAAACATATTTTATAGTGAAAATATTAGGAAACATTTACTTATTATAACCACTCATTTTAGAGACGAAAAGCTGTGGCCTATATAAAGTAAGTGGTTTATGTGAGATGGCTCCACGGGCAAAGCTTGGAACTGGAAGTCTAATACAGGTGTTTGCTCCATGATATATGATCTGCCCAAGGTATCTTTCATGAGATATGGGACATGCCCAGTTCTCGATAGCATAGATTAGAACATTCACTTCTTTAGCATTGGATCGTGAACTACAACAAGCCTTGGGTACAATAAAAACCTAATAGCTTACTGTTCCTCCCCTCATGAGAGCTTTTCTGGTGAGGAAGGCAGGTAGAGAAATAATAAAATAAGGTGTCACAGGTAGCATGACAGAAAGAGGCAGAAGAGAAACAAATGAAAGAGAAAACAAAAGGAGAAACATTTTTGGAGGTGTCAGGAGTGATGACAAGTTCACTTTTGGACAGGGGAAAGTTGGAGGAGACAAATCCAGATAGCACAGCTGGGTATGTGGACAAGGATCTGTGGTAAGCAAGATTCTGTTTTCTGTGACCTTTAGCTCCCGATGTCATATCAATGGATATGTTCCATAGCAAAAGGAACTTTGTAGATGTTATTAAGATGACTAATCATTTGACCTTGAAATTGGAAAATTATCCTGCATTTCTCAGGTGGGCCCAATGTGATCACATGAGCCCTTAAAAGCAGTAGAAAAAGTAAAAAAAAAAAAAGGTAACAGAAGAGGAAGTAGAAGAGATTGCAAGAATAATAAGATTTGATATGCCTTTGTGTCAAAGAAATAGAAACTTCAGTCCTACGACCACAAGGAACTAAATTCCACCAGTCACTTGAATGAGTTTGGCAGTAGATCCTTCCCCAGAGCTCCAGAAAGAGATGCAGCCTTGCTGATACCCTGATTTCAGTCTTCGGAGACTTGAAACAGAGAACCCTGCTAAGCTATACTGTGCCCAAACTTCTGACCCATGGACACTGATATCATAAATAGGTATTGTGACTTAGTACATTTGGGGTAATTTTGTTAAGCGGTAATAGAAAACTAACATGGCATCTTAGATAAGAGGTTGAGAGGAATAATATACTAATAATTTCTCATCCTAATGCCTTGCAGTTCAATATTTCAAATAGAGGGTATATCTATAGGTAAATCTGATACGTCATTGGAAGATCAACATTTGTCTTTCATATGGACATAAAAGTTAGAACAAGAAAGAGCTGTTATTGGAAGCAAAGAAAGAAACACATTTATTTATTTATTTTATTTGTTGTCTTTTGAGACAGGGTTTCACTCACTCTGTCATCCAGGCTGGAGTGCAGTGGCGTAACTCCGCTCACTGCAACCTCCACCTCCTGGGTACAAGTGATTCTCCTGCCTCAGTCTCCCGAGTAGCTGGGACTACAGGTGTGCACCACCACCCTCAGCTAATTTTTGTATTTTTGTTAGAGACAGGGTTTCACCATGTTGACCAGGCTGGTCTTGAACTTCTGACCTCAAGTGATCCACCTGCCTTTCCCTCCCAAAGTGGCTAGGTATAAGCCACTGCGCCTAGCCAAGAAACACATTTAATGGAAAGATTTGCCACATACCAATAATGAGGTGTTTTCCATTATCCTTTAATTATCATACCAAATCAGTGAGGCAAATATATTATTGCTTGCATTTCACTGATGAGAAGACTGGAGCTCACAGACAAGAGTAAAAGGCCAAAAAGTAGTTAGTGGCAAAGTCAAAATAAGCTTTTAGATAACCCTGATCTCTTTGATGGACAATCTCCGGTGGTTCTTTTGTAACATACGCATGAAGTTTGTCATTGAGAATATAATTTTCTGGGTTTACATGTCCTTGGCAAAAATGATTACTTTAGAGGTTCAACTTGGAACAATTCTTGAGCTTTTGAAGAAAGCTTTGGCAAATAGGTCTCTAGTCTGCAGGACACACATTTCTCCCTGAGTGATTGTTCCTTTCTCTCTGACACAAAGTCCTCCAAGAAAGTCACAAGATTTCCCTGGCCCTGGCATCACAGCGAATTTGACCACTGAAGCATATGGTGCCTGATGCTGGAAATGTTGTCCCTCTGAATTCTAGAGTTAATTTTGGCAATCCTAAGCAGGATTCCACTAAGAATGTCTATGCATTTCTACTTCCTGCAGTGAGGGGCAAGAATTTTCTCATACCTGCTCCAGGAAGTCTGTATATGCATTTTTATCTGGAGAGCCTAACATATTTTCTCACCTCTGGTCCTTCTTGCTCCACTGTGGCTTGTCCACATTAATCTTCTCACTGATTTATCTCTTCTCATTCCAAACAGCTTGGATGCTATTGCTTCAATTACTTTCTTTGGGAAATTATGCTGTTGTCTAATTGACCCTATTATTAATTTTATTTTCTGTTATCTAATTTATTCTAATCTCTTCTCCCCTAACCCCTAGTTTCAGGCCATTACTCCTTATTTCTTTCATTTCCAGTCAATCACCTTTTTTTTTTTCTTCTAAGGCCTTGTAATAATCTCTAACAGCAGCAAAGACTTACAGAGAACAGCCACAGCAAAGACACTGGGATGCAAAATCTGTACGCTCTTCAGTCTCTCCTTCCAGTGCAGATATGAACCTCTCCCCATTATTATTTAAGAATGGCAGATTCTTTTTTTCCTGGATTTATAACTCATTGCATTACAATGCATCCACATGTTTTCCATCCTTTTGTTTCTATCCTTCCTTCATTTTCCACCCTGCTTTTTCCCTCTTCCTTCTCTCTGATTTTTTCTCCATCTCTCTTTCTGTTTTCCTGTTTTTTCCTTATGCAAGATTTACTATTTTCATCTAGTCAACAGAGGCAACATTTTATTTAATACATTTCAGAATATATAAAAATAAAGAAAATTTGAAAAAAGATTCATAGTTATAAAAACTAAGATAAGCACCAATAACATTTTGCTACTGTCCTATCATCCTAGCATGTTATATTTTAACCCACTGAGCGCTCCATGAAAAGCAATGGTCCCTAAGCTTTTTACAAATATAGTCTCTATTGTTTACCTTCTTAAAATGTAGAGAACTTTGCCTCCTTCTTGATCCAGTTGATATGAAAGAAAGTTATCAATTTCTACTACAGTTCAAGGAAGAAAACCTTTGCTTCAGTCTGGGGACACAAGGGCAGGCTTCATGAAAGAGGTGACAGCTAAACTCTACTGTCAAAGGGGAGCGTGGGTCAGTTCTGAAAGTACCACAGAGGATAGACAGAAGGAAGGGGATTCCAGAGAGAGTATGTGGTGTGAGAGAAAGAGGCATAGATTTCAACCAGAAGGACCTCTATTGAAAAAACACTGAGTATTCCCATGTGCCGTGCACAA